GCCAAACGAAAACAAGCGACCCCAAGTCGCCCCGGAGGCGATGTTCAGGCGCCCGGCACGCGCTCGCCCACGAGCGCGCCTCGCCCGGCTCCAGAGCAGCGCTTGGCCCGCTCTGGCACGACCAGCAAACGCGCGCCTCCTTCCTCTACCACGAAGGGGGCGCGCGGTCCATGGGCGGCGCGCTGCGCCTCGGAGTTGATAGGAAACAGCTGCGCGGGCGGTACCTGCGGCGCGTCGATGGCAAGGGCAAGGAAGGCGATGCCCCGCCGCGGAGACAGGCGCCCTTGGTCCAGGCTGACAGCCGCGCTCCGGGACGGCCACGAAGCCGGGGGGGGGAGCGTTCCTGGGCCTAGCATCACTTCCTGCTTCGTTTCCCGGGGTTCTCCTGTGCCTGCTTCCACTGCCCATGTTTTTGCACTTGACATCCACGGGGGAAGTCCCGGAGCGGCCGCAGCCCGCCCGTCCTCCGTTCCTTCCTCGCGGTGTTTGTCTCCTACTCGTCGGCGTTCCTCTGCGCGTTCTACACGGTTCCTGGATACCGTTTTCTGCCACGGGTGCCACTCACCCTCCGTTCCTCTTCGTCTCGTAGGCGCTTTCTCTACTTTTGCTGGTCCGCTCTTGTTCTACGTCGTGGAGACCCATTGGGTCCTGTGCTACGTGTTCGGCAAGGCACCTGGGGATTAGTTGGCCCATTTCGCCTTTTGTCCTTCCTGGCCACCGCCGTCCTGGGTAAGTGTGGCGCTCATCTATCGTCGCTGCGGGGTCGCTCTTCCGCGCCCACGTGGACGCGTTCCCGGTGCCGCGCGGCGCCGTCCGCGCCATTTTGGCTGCGCTGAACTCCGTCCCGCTCGGCGCATGGCGTTGCTCGCTATTTTGTTTTTCCCAGGCATCCCGTGGTGTTGGGTCCTCGTTTTGAAGAGACAGCGCCCCGCGTCCTCCCTCGTCCTCCTCCTCCCTCCTCCTCCCTCCTCCCCTTCCTCCCTGCGTTTCACATGCCGAGTGCAGCGTTTCGTGGCCCCATAGGGGACCCCACCGAAGGTCCCAGCACTGCCGGCCGCATGCGTCCCGAACACCCAGTACAGCGTTTCGCGGCCCTCCTCCCCTTGCCCCCTGCGTTTCACCCACCCAGTACAGCGGCGCTTCGTGGCCCCAAGCCCCGCCGAAGGCCCCAGTGCTGCCGGCCGCGTGCGCCCCGCACATCCAGTGCAGCGTCTCGTGGCCCTCCCCCCCCTGTTCCTTGCGCTTCACCCGCCCAGCGCAGCGCTTCGTGGCCCCATAAGGGAGCCCCACTGAAGTTTTGCCGGCCGCATGCGCCCCGCACACCCAGTACAGCGTTTCGTGGCCCTCCTCCCTTTTTTTCCGTGCGTTTCACCCACCCAGTACAGCGCTTCGTGGACCCAGAGGGAGCCCCGCCGAAGGTCCCAGTGCTGCCGTCCGCATGCGTTCAGCGTTTCGTGGCCGCATAAGGGGGCCCCGCCGAAGGTCCCAGTGCTGGCGCCCGCGTGCGCCCCGCACATCCAGTACAACGTTTCCTGGCCCCACAGGGAGCTCCACCGAAACCACCTGTGGGACCGCCCGGAGACTTTCCCGGCGCAGCCGGGACGGCCTTGTCCTGGGCATAGCGACCCGCTCCTCTCCCCAGCTCACTGGGGGAGAGGATTGCGCAGGACAGCATATGTCTTAGAGTTGCAGTCGGTATGTGTAGCAGGTGTAATATCATGTCTTGTTTTTTCCCCCTCCCTGTTGCCGCCCTTGGGCCTCGAGTGGGGGGGGCGCGAGTTGCCCGCTTCAGCGTGCCCGGAGTCGAAGCTGCGCATTAGGCTCGGGGCGGAAATTCGGGCAGCTCTTACATGTGACACACTCGTTGCCTGGGATAGTGTATGCGCGTCCCGCAGCTCACCCGCGCCCCCGGCCCAAGGGGGGATGGGGCGCGTCTTATTTTTTTTTCTCCCCTCTTTTATTATCTTGATTAGGGGTGTGTTCGGGGCTTCGCCACTGTGGCCAGCTGTCCTGGCTGCCCAGCGGGGGCGGGCCGTGGCTCGCCTTTCGGGGTAGCTCGGCTCCCCATATTGCCATTAGGCCCGCGCCGCGGCCCGCCCTTCGGGGTGGCTCAGCGCGGCCCGCGATTCCGTGGAGCCGCACCCACCGGCGCGCGGCGCATTACACCCGTAATTTATGGACCCCGCCGCCATGGACGCCGCGCTCCGCGAACTCCGGCGCGGATCGCCCCGAGGGCTCCCGCTTCCATGGGAGACGACAGCCCTCTCGACGGTACTGGGCCCGAGGAGCATTGCATCCTCGCGCGCCGTATGCCCGCCGGCGCTTATTGGCACGGCGCCCCCGCCTCCTCCGCTCGCGGTCGGGGTGCGCCCTCCCATTTCGAGGGGGCCTGGGCCCGGGCGTCGGGGAGACGCGAGCGATGCCTTCGTGAAGGCCGCCGTGAGGGGGGGGTCGAGTTGCGAGGACGTCGTCGAGGACTCGAAGAGGAAGAAGGCCTTGATGCAATGGTCTTACATTTTGGACATGGCGGGCCCGGACGCTGCCTCGCTCGGCAGGCAGCTCCGCGGCGCGTCCACCGACGACGAGCGCAGGATCATTCAGGATGTCTTCGCCCCCAAGGCCACGGACACCCTGGCCAAGAGGGCTGGGTCGTTTTTCTTGTACGTGAAGTGGGCCAAGGGTGCGTCTATCACCCCCTTCCCCATCACCGAGCAGAAGGCGCACGACTACGTGAAGTAACTGAATGACGGCCTCTTCCCAGCAACACGGGCGACCTCATTCAGGCAGGCTCTGGCTTTTTCTAAGGACCTCATCGGGCTCGCCGGCGTCGACGAGGCGCTCGAGAGCAGGAGGTGTTATGGGGCTTCGTTTGCGTCGTTTCAGCGCAAGGCTTTGACTCAGAAGCAGGACCCCTTCAAGGTCGAGATCGTCTCCTTCTTCGAGCGTTTTGTCTTATGCGTCTCCAATGCCGTGCAGGATAGGGTGTTCATCGGCTTCGTGTTGTTCTTGATCCACACTCGATCCCGGTGCGCAGACGGGTCTAGGATTTGCAGGGAGCCTGTCCTTGACGTCGACGAAGCAGGCTCCGGCTACATCGAGACGGGGGCCTCCGAGGTGAAGACCGGGCACTCGATCCGGAAGCTGCGATGCGTGTCGCCGGTCGCCGGATCCGCCGTCCGGATCACTGGCTTGCAGTGGGCAGCAGCATTGCTTCGAGTACGTGCTCAGGAAGGACTGGAAGCAGACCGGGACGGTTGCCTCATGCGGTCGCCTTTTCGGACTGGCGAGTGGTCGGCTCGACGGCTGGCGACGTCGGCCGCCGGCCGGTGGTTGAAGGAGATATTTGCCCGGGCTCCGGGTAACATCGGCATTGGCGGCGATTTGGCACCCACAGTGCCAAGGCTACGGCTTTGTCGTGGGCTGCAAAGGCGGGCCTCCACCACTCCACGCGCAGACTCTTGGGGGCACACGTGTCCCCAGGGGACCGCAGCATGCTAGAATATAGCCGTGACTCGTTGGCCGAACCCTTGCGGCAGTTGGAGTTGGTGTACTCCGCCATCACCAGGAAGCGATCCCTCCCAGACTCCACTAGGTCTGGCAGGTGAAAAGAATCCTTTTGCGAGGGATTCGTTCGTCGAGTCGACGGCGCCGCCAGGGGGCGCCCGGCGCAAGAGGCAGGCGGGGAATCTCGCCGAGGCCGGCAACCCCGACGCTTCCAGGGCGCGCCTCACCTCAACGGGCCCTGCGGGGCCGGATCCGGGCGGCGACGGGGGCCGACTGGGCTCCGTGGAGTCGTCCGCTGCGTCGGGATCGTGTTCGTTTTGCAAGGGGGCCGCGCCGCCGTCTATGTTGCTGGAGTGCGCCTGCTGTCGCTTGCTAGTGCACAGCTCCAGCGCGTGCTCGCTGGCGTGCGCGCTCTGCGGTCGGACTCTGTCAGGACTGCGGCTCGCCGGAGGCCCACGCCTGCGAGGACGAGGCGCAGTCGTGCGTCAATGAGAGCTCCGCGACCGATTCCGACGACCCCGAGGGGAGCGGCGAGCGGGCCTTCTCCGATGCAGCCGAGGAGGAGGAGGCGGAGGAGGCCGAGGAGATCGACGCAGTGAGCGGACATCTGAGTGCGACGAGGGCCCTGTGGCGAGACAGGCTCACTAGGACCCTCCACGTCGAATTAGGCTTGGGTGAGTTCGCCTGTGGAGCTCCGTGCACCACCGGGTGCGTGCGCCTGGTCGGGCCGCCGAGGAAGCGCACCTTGCGTTGCGAGGTGTGCTTCGGCGCTGCCGAGGGCGCACCTCCCCTTGGCTCTAGCTCCGCGGGGTCCTCCGTGTAGGACTCGGCACTGCTGGGGGCTGCGCCTTGTCTTGGGCGCCGCCTGGACACGTGCGCTGGCTCTCTTGATGACTCGTTTGTTATGCGTTCCGCTGAAAAAGAGCTTCGGTTCCGTGCGGCATGATCGGGCTGCGGCCCTCCTGATTTCCGGGAGGCTGACACAGGCCGCACGTTGCCGGCTTGGGGTTTGCCCCTGGCCCCCTTCCTGTGCCACGCGATGCGGGCGTTGCCGGGGAGTGGGGGAGGCGCCTAGGCCGCTGCGCGCGCCACTTGTCGGGCGCGCCTGCGTGCTTGGGTTGGCGCCCGGGACGCCGGGAGTTCGCTCGCGCGCGGCCCGCGCCAGCATGGCTGGTTGCGCGGCGGCATCGCCCCTGCTGGGCGCCCGCTCCGGCGGGGGGCTGCATTCGCCCTGCAGGGCCCGGGTTCGCCTCGCCCGGGCCGCGCGGCCGTGCGGCGCGGTTGCTCTCGCACGGCAGCCGGTCATTCGTTCTGTTGGCGGTGTGTTGCCGCGACGGGGGACGCCCCTTTTATGTCGTTTGCGTTGGTGTTTGATTGTTGTTGCTTGCGTGTTAGTTTCCGTAGCCGTCGGCTCCGACAGAGCGGCACCAGCGCCCATCGCGATATAGATTCATCGGGCCCAGGAGCCCCACTCTGTCCAAGTCGGCCAACCCCTGATGGCGCTTTTGGTGGACTCGAAGGCGGTGTTCTCGGAGCAGGCCAAGCTGTACGGCCTCGCCGAGTTCATCCCCAAGCTGGCCGAGAAGGGCTGGGACACTTTCGGGAACCTCGCTTTCTGCACTACGTGCATTCCGGGCCAGGGGGGCGACTCCAAGCTTTCGCGGGACCTCATTACCCCGGTGCTGGGCTCGGCCGAGCACCCTCAGGCGGCGGCGCTCAGACGCTTGCATTTCGAGGCGCGCACGATCGCGGCGGCGGACTTGCGGCGGCGAGTTGAGCGCGCGGACGCGGACCCCCCTCGGAGGCTCCCCAACGCGGAGAAGGAGGAGCGCCGCAAGGTCGTCGCCGATCGTCTCGGACCTGGGCTTCGCCTTGAGGGCAATTTGGACCCATCGTATGGTTTGATCGACTTGGCGACGGGCTTTTACGAGGACGACCGGCTGCAGTACATCCCATGGGAGGATTGCAACACCTTGAACCAGGAGGTCGAGGGCACCCGCAAGGTCAAGGTGTGGAAGCCAGACCATGCCGGCCTCATCCGGGAGATCCTTGTCGATGAGGTTGCGGCGACGGCGGACATTTCCACCGACCTGTTGCTGAAGCAGACGCTCCAACGACGGGGACTAGCCCTCGAGATGGGCGACGTGCTCAGCTTCGACATGCACGAGAAGCTCGTGGACCTCCTTATTGGGGAGTATCAGAGGGGGCCGCCCCCAGGCTACACTAGGGTGAGCATCGAGCAGCTGGCGCGGGCGGATCGCGAGGTATTCAAGCACCTCGTTTCCAAGACCCGCTCTGGCATCAGGCGGAACCTCGAGGGGGGGCGGCCCCTGGATGTCCTGTTCGAGGCCACGCTGCAGCTCTCCAAGGTCACGCTCCTCCTGGCGCCGCTGCAGGGCGCCCCGGGAGGGTCCGGGAAGAAGCGCCCTAGGGAGGGCGACGCCCCGGGGCCTGCGGGGAAGGGGCGATCTGCCCGCAGGACCGCGGCGCGGAATCAGCGCGTCGAGGAGCTCAAGGCGGAGGCTGCTGCGGCAAAGGCGGCGGCAGCGGCTGCCCGAGCGCCCCATGGGGCCAAGGCCGCAGCCAAGGGCTCCAATGGGCCCGGGATGCCCAGGGAGTTGATCGGCGAGTGCGCCCGGACGTCCGATAATCGCCCTATCTGTTTCAATTACAATTGGGGCAAGTGCGACCAGAAGGTGAAGCCTGGACAGAGCTGCTCCCGAGGCGTTCACGTATGCTGCAAGAACGTCGGCAACAGGGCCGTCTGCGGAGGCACCCACCCGCTTCCAGAACACGTCCGTTGACTAGGCCAAGAAGGAGGGGCCGATCCCGCAGCGGCCCCAGCGACAGCCCTCGCCGCAGGCGCGGCTGTTGCCCAGTTTTGCTACACCCCCGGCTCGACGCAGCAAATCGGGGGCAGCGCTACGCCAGCATCAATAAGCCCGGGGGCCGCTGCCGCGAGCACGCGTCCGTCGACTGCATCTTCCTCTTCGCCTCCCGCTTCGGCCACTACGTGCTCCTTTTCCTGGTCTCCTGCAACCTTGCCAATTGGGATTGTTACGTCGCCGACGCCTTTCGGTTCGACGTCCGATCCCGCAGTTTTGACAGATTTGGGGATTGGGCCCACCATGGATTCGACGCCTTCACTTCCCCGATCGGGGCGCCCAGCCTCGACGGCCAGATTGGCGCGGCGAGCAAGCGCAGAAAGGCAAGCAACCCAGCAGGCGACAATTGCTCCCGCGTCCCCAGCGCTCCCACGAGGGCAACGACCCGCATGGTCGCCGTCGAGACGTTCGCCAGGTCCGCCAATCTCACAGCCAAGCTGGAGCTCCAGGGTTTTGACGCTTTCGGAGTTGATCGTGAGGCCAACCGGCATGTCCCGAAGGCCGGCATTATAGCGATCGACCTGAGCACCCCATCTGGAGCCCAGTTGTTCTTCACAGTCATTTCCGACCCGTCGGTGGTGTACGTTCACTTTTGTGTCCCCTCCGACACGCTCAGCCGGGCCCGCGAGCGTCCGCTGCCCGCCTTGGCCCGGGCGAAAGGGGCGCCGTGTCCTCGCCCACCCCGCAGCTTGGAACACCCCTGGGGACTGCCAGAAGTACTTCGAGGAGCGGAGGCGCCGCGAGTTCTTGGAGCGAACGCCTTGATCAAAGTTACGCTGGAGGCCGTCAACATATGCCGCCAGCGGCAGGTCCTCCTACTCTGCTGACAACCCCCTCAGCAGCATTCTGTGGGCCATCCCTGGTTTCCGGGACCTGCTGATCGCCGACGACACCGTGGCGACCAGCTTCCAGGTCTGCGCGCGCGGCGGCACGAGGGACATGTGGATGAGATTACTGGCCAATTTCGGGGAGATCAGCGCTCTGGCGGCGGTCTGCCCCAAGAACCACAAACGCGCCCCGTGGGGGCCAGCCTGCCGAATAGACACGTTCACAAGCTTCCGCGCCGTCCACGAGGCCGAGTACCCGGATTTATTGCGCGAGAGATGGGCCGCCGTCATCTCGCTGGCGGCAGCCGCGATGGGGGCTCGGAGCGCACGCAACCCCCTTCATTGACAGCGTTCTCGCGGCTTCTCTGTTGAAAGGGAGCGGCGCTACGCCGAAGGCGGGCCTTGCCGCTAGCGCAGACCTCAAGGCATTTACCTCCGACCAGCCTCGCAGGGACCCCTTCCAGCTCATTTCAGAGTGCAAGACGGTCTTCGTCGTCCGCGCGGACCTCACGCGCGACAAGATATGGTTAGCTGCGAACAAGGGCCCTATCCAGGAGGGGCATAACTTGGCTGGGCGCCTACTCCCTCGAGGCGCAAAGATACTTCAGGTTCGTGGATTGGCCGCAGCTGGGGCGACTTTCGGGAACCTGGATGACACCGAGGACGCTCCGCGACAGGGCGCGGCCTTGCCCCCGACTCACACCAGGGGCCCCGTCATCGTGCAGGTTGGCATCCCTTGGACCCCCTTCGAGTTCTTCCAGAAGGCCAAGGAGATTGAGCCTCCCTGGGGCCGCAGGAGCGCCCCTCCACATCGCTTATGTGCGCCCGTGTTCAGGATCCTCACGCTGGGCGCGAACGAGATCATCAGGAGCCGGCGGGATCGACTTGACTACTGGAGGAGCCGCGCGGCCGCACTAGACGAGGCCGAGGCAGCCCTTCACGCCCAGGCGCACGCCGAGGTCCGACCTTTCCTCGTCGGCAAACGCCTTCTCCTCCTCCAGGAGGCGCTGGAGGTCGTCGGATTCCCGTCCCCTGGCAAGTTGATAGGTGAGGTCGTTGCTGGCGTCAAGCTTTTTGGCGAGTGCCCGGCCACGGGTGCGTTCCCGCTAAAGAAGACCGAGGCGTCCGCCTCCTTCGATGACCTCTTCCGCACATCCCGTTGGGCGCAGATGACGTCCCCTGCTACGGCCCGGCCTTCGGGCGACCCGGAAATTGACGACGTCATCTTCGAGAAAACTCGGGCCGAATGCAAGGCCGGGTGGGCGGTGGGCCCATTGTCGAAGGAGCACTTGGACGAGGCGCATGGCCCCTTGTGGGTTCCAGCGAGGAGGTTTGGAGTCCGGCAGGGCTCCGATTACAGACCCATCGACGATTTCTCCGAGTTCGGGCACAAGCGCAACGGGGCCTCCGCGACGTCCGAGAAAATCGATCCTGGAGGCGTGGACGAGATCGCGGCTATGGCCAGAGCTCTTCTGTCATCGGTTGATTGGGATACTGGCAGGGTGGAGCTCAAGCCGAGAGACGGGCCGCCTATGGTGGGCCGCGTGCACGCCGGTTGGACGCCCGAATACTTGTGCCGCCTTATTGGACGTTCGTCTGACCTCTGGAAGGCTTTCAAGCAGCTTGCCCGCCGGCCGTCCTTCGCCGCCTTCTCGATCGTCGCGGCGTGGAACCCGAGGTCGAATGCCCCGGAGCTTCGCGAGCTGAGAGTTTGCCCGTTCGGGGCGCGGAACGTTGTATGGGGTTTCAATTGGCTTGCCAGGGGTTTTGAGTGGGCTTTGTGCTACATATTCGATCTTGTGGCGACGCATTACTTCGATGATTTTCCGCAGGTTGAACCGGCGTTGCTGGCGACATCGGCGGAGACTACATTCAAGGCCTTCATGGGCCTCTTGGGATGGCGGCTGAAGGGGGACGACGGGAAGGATGTTCTTTTCGACGTGTCGTTCTCTACGTTGGGGGTCGTCTTCGATTTCGCCAGGGCCCACATCGACGCCACCTTCGCCGTGCGAAACAAGGGGGCCCGCATCCCCGAGATCCTCCGGGGCCTCCGCGAAGCCCAGGTATCTGGATTGCGCCCAGGCCTTGCTGCGAGCCTGCTGGGCCGCCTCAGGTGCGCCGGCTCCAACCTGTTCGGCAGGGCCGGCGCCGTGGGCCTGAAGCTCCTATCTTCTATGTCCGCACGCGGGGGCATCCAGTGCGACCAGAGCGAGCTCCGGCACCTCTTCGCCTTCTGGGAGTTCTTTTTCGCGCACTCCAAGGACAGGACCGCGAGGGCCAACTTTGAGGCTCCACTGCTGATCTTCTCCGACGGCGCCGTGGAGGGCAAGGAGTACATGGGCGCCACCATCGGCGCGGCGATCTGGGATCCGAGGGACGACTCCTTGGAGTTCTTCGGGCGCGTAGTGCCTCATGCCTGGGCGGACAGGTGGGAGGCCGGAGGCGCGGACCAGGTGATCGCCCAGGCAGAGTTGTACCCCGCGGTCGTCGCGCGCCACACCTGGGAACAGAAGATCGCAGGGCGGCCGGTCATCCAGTTCATCGACGACGATTCCACTCGCATGGGCCTCCTGCGAGGGTTCTCCCCAGCGTCGGCGTCGGCGGGGCTCATCGGCATGATCTTGCAGGAGGACGTCCGTCTTGAGGTCTATTCGTGGTATGGTCGGTTTGCGAGTGCGTCGAATCCGAGAGATTCGCCATCGCGGATGGATTGGGGTCTGCTGGAGTCATGGGGCGGTGCCCAGTGTAGCCCGCGCCTGGCGCCACCTCCGGATGAGTGGGGCGGCCGGCGGGGCGCCAGGCGCGGCTCTGGACCGTCGCGCGGTTTCATGAGGATTGCGACCCGCGCCAGCCCCACATCTGGAAGAAATATGCGATCGTTTGTCAGTCGATTCCAATGTGTGGATGCGTGGCCTTATGGATTCATACATTCTTGCTCCCATTGTGCATCGTGCATTCTCTCTCTCTCTCTCTCTCTTTCTCTCTCTCTCTCTCTCTCTCTCTCTCTCTCTCTCTCTCTCTCTCTCTCTCTTTTTTTTTTTTTTTGTTTCCCCCCTCGTCCGTTGTTCCCCCAACCCCCAAAGGGGGATTGTGGAAATTTTGCCCCCCGGGAGATTGTGGCAATTTCGGCCCGGGCGCGCGCGGAGTTCAAATTGTTAAAGGATATTTTCCTGATGCGCTGAGAGTCGACGCAACGAAAATGTCACAAAATTCGGCCCTCAAATTCTGCGTGCGCGAGCGGCTGACCCTGCTCGCTGCTGTCTGGTGGTCGCCCGGCTCAGGACGGAGACTTTCCCGGCGCAGCCGGGGCGGCCTTGTCCCGGGCATAGCGACCCGCTCCTCTCCCCAGCTCACTGGGGGAGAGGATGGCGTAGGACAGCATGCGTCTTAGAGTTGCAGTCGGTATGTGTAGCAGGTGCGATAACATGTCGTGTTTTCCCCCCCCTCCCTGTTGCCGCCCTCGGGCCTCGAGTGGGGGGGGGGGGGCGCGATTTGCCCGCTTGAGTGTGCCCGGAGTCGAAGCTGCGCATTAGGCTCGGGGCGGAAATTCTGGCAGTTCTTACATGTAACACACTCGTTGCCTGGGATAGTGCATGCGCGTCCCGCAGCTCACCCGCGCCCTCGGCCCAAGGGGGGATGGGGCGCGTCTTATTTTTTTGTCCTTCCACCCGGCCCTGCCTCGGAAAAATGGGGGCGGCTGGCGGGGCACCAGGCGCGGCTCTTGACCGTCGCACGGTTTCATGAGGATTGCGACCCGCACCAGCCCCACATCTCGAAAAATATGCGATCGTTTGTCAGTCGATTCCAATGTGTGGATGTGTGGCTCTATGGATTCATGCATTGTTGCTCCCATCATGCATCGTGCATTCTCTGTTTTTTTTTTTCGTCCGTAGTTACCCCAACCCCCAAGGGGGGATTGTGGAAATTTTGCCCCCGGGAGATTGTAGCAATTTCGGCCCGGGCGTGCGCGGAGTTAAAGTTGTTAAAGGATATGTTCCTGATGCGCTGAGAGTCGACGCAACGAAAATGTCGCGAAATTCGGCCCTCAAATTCTGTGCGCGCGAGCGGCTGACCCTGCTCGCTGCTGTCTGGTGGTCGCCCGGCTCAGGGCGCATGCGTCCCGAAAAATTCAATTTGTTTTTTTTCCCCCAACCCTCCTGCGTTGGGTACTCGTTTTGAATAGAGCACTGCGGTCTCCGTTTTCCTCCTCCCGCCCCCCCCCCCTCTCTTCCCTCCTCCTCTCCTCTCTTGCTTGCCTTCTCCTCCTCTCTTCGCTCCTCCTCTTCTCTTCTCTTGCCTTTCACGTCATCCCTGGCGGGCTGCGATCTGCGGAACTGTCACCACTTTCGAGGGCTGCTGGTGGGTCCAGCGGAGTGAGGCACCACGGGGACTCAGATTAGACCTCGCCATCCCTGGGGGGGGGCTGCGATCTGTGAAACTGTCGCCACTTTCGAGGGCTGCTGGTGGGTCCAGCGGAGTGAGGCACCACGGGGACTCAGATTAGACCTCGCCATCTCTGGGGGGGCTGCGATCTGTGAAACTGTCGCCACTTTCGAGGGCTGCTGGTGGGTCCAGCGGAGTGAGGCACCACGGGGACTCAGATTAGACCTCGCCACCCCTGGGCGGCTGCGATCTGTGAAACTGTCGCCACTTTCGAGGGCTGCTGGTGGGTGGGTCCAGCGGAGTGAGGCACCACGGGGACTCAGATTAGACCTCGCCATCTCTGGGGGGCTGCGATCTGTGAAACTGTCGCCACTTTCGAGGGCTGCTGGTGGGTCCAGCGGAGTGAGGCACCACGGGGATTCAGATTAGACCTCGCCATCCCTGTGTGAAACTGTCGCCACTTTCGAGGGCTGCTGGTGGGTCCAGCGGAGTGAGGCACCACGGGGACTCAGATTAGACCTCGCCACCCCTGGGCGGCTGCGATCTGTGAAACTGTCGCCACTTTCGAGGGCTGCTGGTGGGTGGCCAGCGGAGTGAGGCACCGCGGGGACTCAGATTCTGACCACGAGCAATGCTCGCGTGCCCTTGCTCTGCGGTTCGTGCCACGTGGCGCTGCGACTCGAGCTGGCGGTCGTCCTTCGGGCCCGCAGAAACATCTGCTGAGCTCGATGAGCTAGGGGAACTACAGGAAAGAAGTGCAGGAAACGGAGGCCGGTCATGCACTCGCCGATACCTCGTTGCTCTGTCATCGTCTTTGCTGTTGCATGATCCTTATCTGGCCTGCCGGCGCCGCGGCTCGAGCCGGCGGTCGCCCTTCGGGCCCGCGGGAACATCTTCTGAGACAAGTGGACGCCGCCGCCTTACTTGCAGGCAGCGCATTGCATTCGCGGACAGCAGCATGGCAGACCGCAGTGAGATCCTCAGTCGCGTGGTGTTGCCAAGCCTGGTGGAGACGCGCGTGATCGACCTGAAGTCCCAATCGCGCGTGCACTGTACCTGCGTGGCGTTCAGGCACGCGCGTGATGCTGCTCGCTCCGCGTTCAACCAGTACGTCGCCAGTGCAACTTTGGACGATGGACAACCGATTGATGATACGCGACCCCGGCCTTGAGTTTCTTCCCCGCGGGCCGCCCGCAGACCTGGCGGCGCGCCTGCGAGCGCTCAGCTCCCGCGCTGAAATGTGCGGGAAGGAGGCGGAGAAGCTAGCGGGCGAGCTACGCCTCGCTCGTTCCTTGCACTCTAAACAAGTTTTATCATGTGGAACTCTGCGACGACATGGCGCAGGCAGCGCTGCGGGTTTAGCTCGCACTTGAAAAACGCGGCAGTCTTCTGTCTCCTCCCGCCACTTTCATCGTCGTCCTATTCCCCGCCTCACCTTCTCCATGCATGCTGCTGCTTCCGCGATGGCCTTTCGCCCCCCCCGCCCTCCATTCCATCCCTCTCCTACCCCTCGTTCCCGTGCCCGTTATTCTTCGATCCTGGGGCCTCAAGCGTCGTTCTTTCGATCGTCGTCCTGTGAGTCGTGCAACGCATGCGCATCCCATGTAGCTTGCGCAGCAAATCGCCGCGTCTACACTGTCGTTGTTCCTGCTAATGTTGGCATACTCCTCTTGCCATTTGATGCGCGTGGGGTGGGTGCGTCGCAGGGTAATTTTTTCTCAACCATCCTGTGGTGTTGGGTCCTCGTTTTGAAGAGACGGTGCCCCGCGTCTCCTTCCTCCTCCGCTCCTCCTCCGCCTCCTCTCCCCTCCTATCATCCTCATCGTCATCATCATCATCATCGTCATCATCATCATTATCATCATCATCATCATCATCGTCATCAGCATCAACATCATGGCCGCCATCATAACCATCATCGTCATCATCACCATCATCGTCGTCATCACCATCATCGTCGTCCTCGTCGCCATCATCGCACGTTTCGTGGCCCCATACGGAGCTCCACCGAAGGTCCCAGTGGGTGTGCCCGCATGCGTCCCGCACGCCCATTGTGGCAAACCCCTCACACGTTTCGTGGCCCCATAGGGAGCTCCATTTACGGTCCAAGTGGCGCAGCTCGCATGGCGCCACCGCCCCATTTTGGCACACCCCTCACACGTTTCGTGGCCCCTCAGGGAGCTCCACCTGAGGTCCAAGTGGCGCAGCTCGCATGGCGCCACCGCCCCATTTTGGCACACCCCTCACAGATTTCGTGGCCCCTCAGGGAGCTCCTTTTGGCACACCCCTCACACGTTTCGTGGCCCCATAGGGAAATCCACCTAAGGTCCACGTGGCGCAGCTCGCATGGCGCCACCGCCCCTTTTTGGCACGCCCCTCACACGTTTCGTGGCCCCATAGGGAGCTCCATTTACGGTCCAAGTGGCGCAGCTCGCATGGCGCCACCGCCCCCATTTTGGCACACCCCTCACAGATTTCGTGGCCCCTCAGGGAGCTCCACCTGAGGTCCAAGTGGCGCAGCTCGCATGGCGCCACCGCCCCTCTTTGGCACACCCCTCGCACGTTTCGCGGCCCCTCAGGGAGCTGCACCTAAGGTCCCAGTGGTGCAGTTCGCACGGCACCCCTTCACACGTTTCGTGGCCTCACGGGGAGCTCCATCTCAGGTCCAAGTGGCGCGCCCCACATGGCGCCGCATACCCATTTTGGCACACCCCTCACACGTTTCGCGGCCCCATAGGGAGGGAGGAGGAGGAGGGGGGGGGAGGAGGAGGAGGAGGAGGGCGAGGAGGAGGACGAGGAGGAGGAAGAGGAGGAGGAGGAGGAGGAGGAGCAGGAGGAGGAGGAAGAAGGACCGCCCTGGCCGCTGTCGCCGCCGCCGTCGGCGCCGCCGTCGGCGTCATGCTCGCGGCCCCACAGGCGAACGGGAGAGAGGGTCCCCTCCCCCTCCTCCTCCTTCCCCTCCTCCCCCTCGCTTCCGGAATTCTCTTTGTTGCCCGCGCGCATCATCATTGCCCATGCTTGTTGAGTCCACTTAGCTGCGAAGCCATTCATTGCCAAGGACTCCAAGCTTCAAGGGCCCCGAGCTCCGAGATCTCATGGCGTTCCTGCGCAGACCGGGGAAGCAGGCCCCTCCGGCCATCCGGGCCACGTGGAACGCCATGCAGCTGAAACCCGACGATCGCCGGCTCCGGGAGGAGAGGTTCCAGAACGGCCACATGATCGGGTCCTCCTGGGACACCGTGGCGCGGTGGATGAACATGCG